CACAGAGAACCTAAATACATTCAGATTCCTGCTTTTAAAAGATGGGGAATTGTCGTAGCACTAAAATAAGTTTGTGTTTCTAAAGTCTGACTTGCCCAGAGAGGAGAACCGAGCCCATGTTACCTGAGAGAGAAATATCCAACATGTCATTCAGGAACAAGTCAACTGAAGGTTAATGTATATCTTTATCAACCATCCTGAAATGTAATGAGAACTCTAATTCACCTTAATATCTGTGGATAACTCCATCTGAGTCCTATGTGACCATCATAGACATACTAAATTGACTATTCCATATAAAATCAGGGTTAGGCTTGTAATGTTGTAGATTCTTCCGTGGGCCTGCTGCAGCCTGCTCCAGCTTACTTGGAAGATGACTCCTGGTGAGTAATTTAGGTGTTTGAAATGATGAACTTTGTGATTTTCCACCCAGGCTCCAGCTGCCTTGCTGCAGGATGAGGATGCCCTGTAATTCCTATGTGATGGATGCAATCCCATGCTGGGTAGCTGAGCTGGCATTAGGTGCCTTTATGACCAAATGGGGCCTCAGATGTCACGCTGAGTTAAAAAGCTTATATAAATTCCCTGTACTGCTTTATGCAGCATTGTGCACATTTCTTGTGTTCCTTTGCATGTATTTAGCTGAATAAGGTAAAACATGTTTTGATGTAGTTTTGAAGACCCTTCAATATTTATACCTATGCTTACCTTATCCACTATTGACCAACTGCACTGTTCAAAGGAATGAAAACAAGAATATTCCAGGGTAGGATTTTTTGTTTGTTTTGTTTTGTTTTGTTTGTTGGTTTTTCTAGATTTAGATCCTCATGCTTGTGTCCTGTTGGGATGTGCTGCCTGTAGGAGAGAGGCATAAGTGTTTGAACTGGAATAGCCCTCAAGGTGATTTTTTTCTACTCATTGGTTTGAAATTTTGGATTTAGTTTCTGCAATTACAAAATGGAGATGACACCATCTAATAATGCTTAGAAGATTGGTTACATAATAAAAAGTTATAGGTATTACTATCACTAGTTAAGCTAGAATTCATGATACTTAATTTGCTTTACAGTTAACATTTAAACAGAAATATTCTCATTTTGAGAATTTTGCTATGAAAAACAATTGCTTTACTGAAAATAGGTGAGCTACAGTAACATGTGGAGAAAAAAATGAAACAAATATTCAGATGAAGGTACTTTGAATGATGTTAGATACAGCCCAGCAGTGCTAACTTGTGTTGCTTGCAAAAAGATAGTTTATGCAGTTGGTGCACGTGCAAGTTGAAAATTGTCATTTAATGATAATTCTTATAATCTCATCAAGGTTGGTCATGCTCTTCTGAGTATCTTCAATTAACCAAACTGGCCTTTTCAGATTCTGAGACTGGGAATTAATTAAACTCAGTTTTTGAGGATGTCTTCTTTGTTATTGGCAGCTGGATGGGAGGGAATGTGTGGTTACTCAAGTAAAAATCAATCTGACTATTAATTGTCAGATTGCAGAAATAATATGCAGTTTTCAAATAAAGAATATCTTCTAAAATGAAGAAATTTTATCTAAACTGTCACAGTCCAGGTCAGCAACTGAAATTTTGTTAAAATCAGTGGGTCCAGGATGTAATGTTTGTGATTTCCAGGGCAAAATATGATCAACAACAAAGTCAGAACAGATTAGCAGCATAGGGTTTACATGTTTGAGGAACCTTTATCTGATCCTATAACTAAACAAAAAATTAATATTTTCTTGTTAGAAATAGAGGTTTTTCTATTTTCTTGTTGGAAATAATAATGCTACGTATATTGCTGTTGTGCCTCATGGGCTTTATGAATGTATGGCATTCACAAAGGTTTTAGTGATCATAGTGAGCTGAATTCTCTGACTGAGCTGAGCTGCAGCCCTCCTGTCTTTTTGTGCTCTAGATCACTGAATACTAAACAGCTTTGCTTCTATCACTTCAGCTACTGGTGCTATGGTTGCAGTCAAATGTTAATTTAGCTGCTTTAATGAGAAACTGCTGTGCTACAGACTCATCATGTCAGTTACTGGCAACAGACCTGAGAGTGGAAGGTTACTTTGGATAGAAGGCTGATCCACCATAAAGCTAACCCTGCAAAAACCCTGCACATGGGGCTGGACAAGTGAGTGGAGAGAGCTCACTCTGGTGTAATATAACCATTAGATCTCATCTGAGGGGGGCACAGGAATTTATGGACATGGAGAAACAGAGTGTGGGACTATCCTGTGATTCTGTTCAGTGGCAGCCAAATGCTGCCCTTGTGCTGTCTTGGCCGTAATTTCAAAGATTGATTGATAAGACTCTGTGATTGCATTAAGTCCCTATCCATGTGTAAAACAGTATGTCATAATATACCAGATGGTCCCAGTCTCTGGGGGTTTCTGCCTAAATGGTTTTGCAGTTATGAAATAGGAAAAGTATAGCAAGGCCCGAAGGATTTTGGCCATGTTAACTGTTGTTGCTGACTTCAAGGTTGTGCACTACTTCTAATAAATACGTATCACCCAATGCCAGGATGGGCTATAAGAGTGTTCATGAAAGAGAAGTAGGAGAAACATTCTGTGGGATGACCTAGAAAACCTCTGCACAAGTCATTACTGCAACAGGAGTTGTGCTATAGAAGTTATATCAACAGTTTTGATTTTCCAAGTACAGTTTGCTCTGAAGTTAACTCCACAGCAGGTCAGATGTTCACATCCTTGGGAGGTTTGGAAAACCAATGACTGAAAAAGCAAGCATGCACTTGCTGTGCATAAAGGCATGATCAAAGCCATGTAAAGACATACATATATTTTTTAACATAGATCACAAAGCACCAGCCCAACTTTGCTCATCCTGGAGATTAGCCCCAGGGCATTTCAGATGTGGTACAGGAATCTGCAACACAAGTCATGCTGCTTTCCACTCTGTGGATTTGTTTGTGGCACAGATATAGGGATGATAGCTGCCTCTTTCTGAAGGAGAGAAGATAGAGATTCTCTGTATGAAAATAACTGTGCAGTACTTGCATCTCATTTAGGTGGTGCATGATTCAACTTCCCTCTATCAGCTAAACCCTTGGTGAAATTTCACTTGGAAAAGATGGGGAGAAATGCAGGATGAACAGATGTCATCGGAAAAGTTTTTGCAGAAAAGACAACCTGTAGGGAAGTAGAACAGCAAACTGGTTGCTCATGCTTCATGAGCCTTTGCCAGAGAAAAAGACAAAACACACTCCCTTGGACTGATGACAGTTTCAAAGCTGCAGTCATAGTCACTCAAAAATCACATAAGAATGAAGTACAGAAAGGCCTTTTTTTCCCCTCTGTGAGTGGAAAATTACTGCTGTTATATATGTATGTGTCACAAATGTTGATGCAAAAATAAATGATGGCCAGAAGTCACGTGGATCCTTTGATAAGCAAGACCTTTCTGTATTGTAATATAATTTTGTTCCAGATTATGCTTCTGGCAAGAACCACCAAATATATTACAAAGGAAAGTGGTTGATTTGGCATATTTTTGGAATCTGTGGTTGAGGTATAAACTGTCTTTTGACAGTGTGAATTTGTATTTTGGTGTTACACTGTAAAATTTAGGCAAGCATAACCACCTTGACAGATGAGTGCAGATCTATAGACATAAACCATATAAGATGTATGTCAATTGCTGTTCACATCCCTTTCTTCAGTGGCAACCAATCAGACTCTGGACACACTTTTGTTGTTAAATGTTTGAGTTTTGTTGAGTCTAATTCCTTCTCATGGTCAATCTTTATAAGATTCACTCTGCATCATCATTATGAATAGTTGTAAAGGAAACTGGGGAATTGAACATGTTTGATAGCAGATATCATCACCCTCTAGAGGGCTGTGGCATAAAATATTAACATCACGGCCTACATCAAAATGCATTTAAATTTTTCTTATGTCACTAAATATTTTTGTTATAAATAATTCTTATAGCTTGTTTACATGAAATAAAGAGTCCATTTTCAGAATGAGAGCAACTTGCTGATTGAACAGGAATCTTAAAATATAAAACCTTGGATTCTTGACATTTTGTCTTCGATGACAAGAAATTTGAGTGGAACAGAAAAGAAGGATGAGGAAACATCCCATCGCTTCACCAGGAAACATTTGCACAGATAGTTTCTGAATGAATATTCTGTTTTTATTTCATTAGTGGTTTCCTGTAAAGTTCAAAGGGTTTTTTGGCATGCCCAGTTTAACATCCCTCTTGAACAGGAACACATTTTTTGTCATTCTCCAAGGCCTCAATAGTACAGGGAAAAAAATAATCAAAAAGGACTGAAATTTCTGAGAAGATTCTAGAGTCTGATTTTGAAGTGTTAATCAGTCTGTCTGAATTTGCATAGGATCAGATCAGATATCATCCAGGTCAGCAGGAAACTGATGGTTGCTGTGTTTACACATCTTTTCGGTGCCTAAGAATTAAATCCTCTTAGGAAACCTTTAAAATATTATTGAATGTTAATCCATATAACACTGCCAAATTTCACTTTTGCCTTACATAGATAAAATTGCTTGTATGAACACAGAGTGAATGGAAACATGCTGTCTATTTTGAATACTGTGAAGGAGCATTTGCTGTAATTCCTGACCACACAGGGAACTGGTATCTCTTAGCAGCATAATAATGTATACTGACTGCTTGTTTTCTGTTGAAAAATGAACAAGCTACAATTTTAGCCCTTAAGCTTGTTGAAAATGTTTGTAAGCATTTGAAGACAGTACTTCTTTTTCTTTGAAAAAAAGATTTTGTGGTTCATTTATTTAAAATTTTGAAAATTTTCTATTAATTTTTCATTCAGTTCAGCTCTGCAAAATGAGTGACAAAAGCATCTTCCTGAGTGGAAATGTGTTGGGAAACCATCCCAATAACTTTAACAGCTTTGAGTCCAGAGCACATTACACATATTTTACCCATCTCTGGTTTTGTACGTGTTGGACTTCACATTGATGTAATTTTGCTTTTTTTTCAGAGCTGAAACATGAGATCTATGTTTGGAGGCTGACAGCTCAGCGCATCAACCCAGCCAGCAGAGAGGAGACTGCTGTGAAATGTCTCTTGATGCAGAAGGTGCTGACTCTGGAGATGCTCCTGAGGAAGAAGCTGAGGACATTTCACAGGTAAGCAAGGATCAGCTTGTCCAACCTCCCCTTTCAGGGACCTTCACAGGACCTGCATTCCTAGCTCTGTCTTGGTGAGATGGATGTTGGGGCAGATAGGAACAGCTACTCTCAGCCTCAGTAAAACTAACTATTTTAGGACAAAACTGATGTGTTAGGCCTGGAAAATATATTTGTCAATATGGCCCAAAATTAAAGACCTAGAAATTTCAGGCAGCTTTCGATTTAAAACGATCACAAATATATAACTACACTTTTCCTTACAGTTGTGACTTCAGCACAGCAAGATGCTGGAGTTGCTTTTTTTTAACTGAAAATTTCAAATTCTCTGCAGTGAATGGGTGAATTTGAAAAATATTTCACCAGTGAATTGCGGTGGTTTACAATTATTTCATAATCAACATTTCATTGTGAACCTGAGTGCAGACATATTTTTATGTATAGAAAAGAGGTTTACATAAACTATCACAAAAAGAATAATGACCTTGTTTTGTTTAGATTCTAGTAAAAACAGATGTTATGCCATGGAATTTGATAATTGAAAATAGCAATGATAAATATTTTGGATGTTAATTGCCTAAAGTGAAATTGGAATATTTAATTTTAATTAATAACTTTGTTAAAGAATTTGAGCAAGAAAATGTAAATATGATTTATTGAACTATTCCAATAATAAGATTTTTTACATAATTTTTGCTGATATTGTGTATTTTGAATTGAGTGAGAGTATTAGTACTTCAAGACAAATAAGGCTGTTAAAATCGCCTCCTTTACAAAAGATTTTAAGATTCTCAGAGTTTATGATATTGTAAAGAGGACCCTACTGACTTACAAATGAAAATTGTATATTTAATCTTAAAAATCAGGATTCCTCCAGCACAGTGCATTTACAGCAATGTAAAAATTCATTAGCATTAACAGAGCTCCTGAAGTGCAAAGCCCAAGGCTTTTTGCTGGAGGCCGGACTGCACCGATAACACAGTGAAGTTATTCAGATCTTAAAAACTTCATTATAAAATGCTAATGTGAAACATGTGTGCTCTGACTTGCTGATGTTAGCACACGACCCTTGTTTTATCACAGTGGGACACACACATCAGCTCCTGAAACTGTTAAGGGAACTACACATTGCAGATAGCCAGATCCTATCTGAGGTCCATACTCTGAAGTCCAGCTCCTTCTCAGCCTGTGGCTTTCTTAATAAACAGAAGGGTTTGTGTATTAGTGGAGCTTGTTACAAAAGTGGAGTCTTAAGTGAATGCTCATGGAAATTTTGCTGCTGGATGTAAGAAGGCCACGACTCCTTTGTGGTATGGGTTACTCCACACAGGGAAAGAGGAGATCTATATGTGATGAGAGGGAATTATTCCAACGCTCTTGGCTGAGCTCTGATTTCACTCTGGAAAAAAGTAGGTGTCATTTTCTTTCAGACAAATTTCACAAGAAGATAAAAACTGGGAAACAAATATCCAGGAACTTCAGAAAAACGTAAGTAGATACTATTTTTTCCCCAGTATTCATGTAAATGAAGCTATGCCTTTATAGAGAGATAGTGCCTTAAATCTAATGGAAATTTATTAGCTAATTTAGTAGCTAATTTGATAGCCAAAAAGTTAGCAGCCAGGGTGGTTGGCTTCTTGGTCAGACAAGATTACTGAACCACATAGTGAGGTTTTGTACTTTTGTTCCTTAGAAAACTGTAACTTAAAGAATGAAGTAATGGTTCAGCAGTGTTTTCTTAACTTTTTAATCCATAGCCAGAAAGGCTCAGGTGATGTCAATAAATTGTAGCCATGATGAATGATAATAGAGTACACTCCTACTAATGTACCCAATGCATTTAATGCATTTTGGTGACATCACTGCTTTTATTATTCAAGTAGGGATAAACCATTTGATAAATCCTGTTCTTTTAGCTGTGCACATACTAGCACTGCTTAAGTCCTTATGCTGAACCTGAGAAGATGGAGACTCTGTCGTGGGATTATTGTCTCCTAAATTTAATTATCTAAGTGTCACAATCTCTCTACCTCACTGGCATCACTATGAATCAGGCCTGTGTCTGAGAGCTCAAGTCCTTGATTGGACTCCTTGGGGTGCAAGTCCTTGTCTGGGAGAACACTGTCCTAGGTGTCACACCAAACCAGACCAAACCCAGCAGATTTTCTTTACACCTTTTTCAAGGCATTGGATAAGAGAAAAACTTTTTAAAGAACAGAGACTTGTATTTTAGTAGAGCTTTAAACTACATGAAACAAGAGACAAACTCAGTCTGGGAGAAAGTGATTCCCTGGAGTGGTAGTGAAAGCAGAGACACGACAGAAAGCACTGGGTGTGGGGGCTGAGGACACAAGGAGATTGACACAGTGAAGCAGGAGCTGGGCACAGAGGTGTACAAACTCTGTAGAGATGAAGGGCTTAGCAATTACATGAGAGCTGTACAGGAGGTGTGAAAGATTTGACCTCTAGAGTGGTTTATAGATTTTCAAAGCACACCTGAAAAAAGAAGGGTGGTTTTGTCCCAGATCACAAAACCACAGAGTGCTCAGAATGCCCTCTTTGGTAGGAGTTGCATTTCAACGCTGCTTCACCCTCTGGACTGAAGTTGTTAAGGGGGTGCCTGAGTACAGCTGAATGTATGCAGCAGGTCCTAGATACTTGTATCTCTTAAAGCCTGTTAGACCACATATTCATGTTTTTTTTATAGGTATGCATAAGAAGCACACCTATAAAAACTATTCAGGTAGTTCTGTCTTTTATGCTCAAGAGGAACATACAATACAGGAACAGCAGTTTGCACTTCACACATGCTTTTCTGAACTCTAGGCATAATACATAGCTTCTTCTTTAATACAATTGCTAATTTTATTTTCTTGTCTGTCTCCAGCACAGAATAACAGACAAAATTCTGCTCATCAAATGTCTGACAGTGCTGGGATGTGTTATTCTTATGTTTTTTATCAACTCATTTGTTCCAGGCATCTACCTAGATCTTGGTAAGTTTCCTAGTTTTGTTCAAAGTAAAATAAGCAAACTCCCTGAAAAAAAGCCAGCCATATCTTTCTGAGTCTTGATCTTTTCAGAAAACCCTTTTTCATATGTTTCTGTCCTCATAATTTTACCAGGTTAAGCAGCAATTTCTCTGGGAAGAGAAGAGCAGGTTCTAAAAATTCAGTCACGTCTCAGTTACTCCAGCAGGAGTAACAGAGAGTGCTCATGACTTTATTTTCTGGATTTCCAATACTAATGAGCTGGCTAAACATTTCAGAATGAGCAAATTTGACCTTGGCATCATTTGCACTGTTTGAGTGAATGACCAAGATGCATCAGGGACTTCAGAAGATAATCACTCCATGGTAGAACAAAGAAGCAGTTTGGCATCATTTCTGAAGTATAGAAAGCTCTTTGTATAATTTACACTCTCCATTACTTTATCACCATAATAATTCATTTCCAAAAATAAAAACTGGAGGACACTGTATATGGGTGAAATGAAAGTAGCTCTGTGTGCAATTTCTATATATAGATCTATATGTGGAGGTTTTTATACAGGTAGTTGTATATCTCTACAAGAAAAAGTTCCACATAACCTGAAAACAGAACCAAGTAGAATCTCACATTTAACTTAAAGATAGTCATAAAACCTACCTATGCATCGGCCAAAAAAAGAAATTTTTTTTTGGCTGCTGAGCTCTTCAAGATTATGGAATTCAAATACATTTTTTTTCATGCAATCTGAATTTACACACTATATACTTCTATCTCAGTGGCTGAAAGGTGGAGCAGGCTTGAAGAGGAACAGCTGATAATGAATAAATCAATAATCATATACACAGATATTACATTGACACTTATTTTTATTGTGCAAGATATAGAGCCAGTTATGGCTCTACAATGGTGATCAGGTTGTAAGCAAGACATTCCATATCTGCTACTGACAGACTATTTACCATGCAAATGGGCAATTTCAGCCCATGAAGATTACTGTCAAGAAGTTAAAAGGTAAAATGCTGTATTAAAACAGAAAAATGTGCTATGCTAATAAGGTCTGGGAAAATGCAGAAGGTGAAAATTTTTGAATGCATTTGAAGTCACGGTGGCTGAAAACATAAGAAAGGCCTTCATATTGACAATTTAAGAAATCAATGTACACTCTTACTTTTGTGTCTCAGATAAGTGGCACTGAACCATGTAGAACTTCTTGAATTAAGCCAAACATGTCTAAATGTTTTTGAAAAGCCAGACAGTCATTAAAAACTAAACAGTACTAGTTGTGTATGCTCCTGGTAAGAATTTTTTTTCAATACTGCAAAGGAGTTGGAGTCGCTGCTAGAGGAAATGTAGTAACTATTGATCTTTTTTTTTGTCCTGCTTTATGCCAGTAAAATAAATGAAAATAAATGGAATGTTTTGCAGTATAGGTTTCTGTTCAGTAGCCAAATAACAACCTTGAAAGTAAATAAGGGCTGTATGTGTTCTGTATAATTTCTCCCTGTTCAGCATTCACGGCAAACCTGTCATATCAATGAATAAATGTTACTAAAGCATACACATAATTTCTACTGAAAAGTAATTGAACCTGTAAACTTCTACTGATAAGTTTACAGGTCCCATAATTTACAGGTTCTCAGTTTTGTTTCCTGAATTTCTCGGTCTTGATGATAGCTGTCACTTATTTATCATTACTGAAGTAGGGCTGCTGTGAGACTCTGTGGATTTTAGTCTTCCAAAGCATGGAAATATACTTCTTAATGTACACTACATGTTGTACTCTGTTGGCTTGGGTGGGTAAATTTGTTCAATATGTTGTTCTCATAAAAATTGCTGTTCAGTGTTTAATTTTCTACCAAAATAATGGTTTATACAGAGGTTGAAATGATAGAAATCTAATAACTTTAAATTGCAGCTGGTAGAGAGAATTAGAAAGATTTTTAAATTCTGTATCAGTCCCAAGCCTTGATACAATTTTTTCATTATGAACATGGAATCATTAATATAATTTGAAGGTACTGACATTTTAATTTAAATAATAAAATTTGAATACTTAACTGCCTTTTGAAATGCAGAACTCTTTCCTATTCAGTTTTCTTGTGCCTGTTCATTAATTTATTTAGTGTAATTCTATGAAATAGCTATGTTAATAAAAGATTAGTACTGAGACTTAAAAAAACCCAGATACTAAAAACTGTAAGACTCCTACACTACTTTCATTTGGCCCCATGAGATTTTATTTTATTGATAAAGCATTATTAAAACATCTGAGAAAAGATGACAAAGGATGAAATTAAAGCCCATTTGAGGATTTTACCTGGCTACTATTTTGACTTTATCTTTTAGGCAGGCATGTCTAGAGCTTTGGACTATATTAATATGCCTGAAAAAGATTTAAAAAGTAATATAAAGCAAGATTTTGCTGAAATTTTAAGCTAGTTTTTTTGAAGGGAGCACTCAAAGTGACTGGGTCAGAAAAAGTACTAAAATCAATTTATAGCTCAATTCCTTCTTCTCCTGTGGGGAAGCTGCTTTATCTTTGATTTGGTTTTAGTCAGTTCAATGAGTTGCTGAGCTGCTGTGAACTTTGTGCAGTTCCTTCTAGTATCTGTGAAGAGGGACCCATTATCTCCATGGCCCTGCTTTTGCCTGCCTCTCTGTGCTTTCTGCATGAAATGCAGGCAGCCTGCTCTTGCAGACGCCCTCACTCTTGCTCTCTTCCACCTCTGGACACCTCTTTCCCAGGGCCAGACCCACTAGTTTCTGAGACATGGGAATGTCTTCTTCTCCTTTAAGAGGTTGAAACAAACTCTATTGCTCTCATATTCAACGAACAAGGTGAAAACCCAAGAGTAAAGAGATGAGATAGTTCCTGTTTCAGAGAGGAGATGCTGCCTCAATTTTGGCTGCTGGAAGCAGGGATGGAATGCCAGGAGAAATACAATTCTGCTTCATGCCTTATTTGAAATACAATGGTGGTTTTGCCTTATTTGTATATTAATTCCTGCCTTATTTGCCCCCATTTTTCCTGTTAAAGACACGACTCTTGCACAGGTGAACCTATGGTGTTACCATCCATGGCTTTCCTCATGTTCCTTTGATGAATTATTTAAGCAAGGGAACAGGGAGAGATCTTTCGGATTCACTGAATTCTTCCATAATTAAGGACTGCCATTTGCTCACTGGAAGGAGCTGTCTTGGATTTTTTTTTCACTTGTACAGAGGAGTGGTGTCTTAATGCTGCTGTCTGAGCCCATTCTGGTATTTTTGGTGCCATGGGCATCTGTGATCCTTCAGACATCAGTATTTAAGCTAATTACCTTCATCTGCCCTCAGAATAATCTTTGGGGTGTCACTAATCAGTGGAGGAGGTCAACAGCTGTGATTCAGCCTGGTTTCGTCTTTGGTATGATTAATCAAAGCAGTGTTAGCAAACTCCCCAAATTTAGGAACTCATAACTAACTTTAGGAACATTCAAGCAATGACATGATCACTATGACCATTCTGGGCACTAGGACAAGGTGTATAGTCAATATTCTATGTCACTCCAGTCAGGCAAACATCCTAGATCTGAATTTCCCTCATCATTCTTGCACTAAAGCTAAAATTCCTTAATATTTACAAACAAAGGTGATCTTGTTTGATGAGACTTCTTTCTCTTGCAAAACATTCTCTTGTCCTCTATATTGATGTGGTTTAACTTCTGAATGTGTACTAAGTCTGCAAATTCTGCTACAGCTACTTGTGAGGGTCTGAAGACCTCTTTTTGCAGTTTATGGCAATTAGTTGTATCTTGCATCTTTGAAACATTTTAAAACTGTGATCAAAATAGTGGAGAAGTAGGAAAATAACTGCTTTAATTTAATTTAAACTGACTTCTGTTTTTTTGGTACATCATGTTGTGCAGACTTCTCTTAATTTTATTGCCAGAGCATTAAAGGAGAAATGTACTTGGTGTAGATATGGAAGACTCTTGTTATATTGTCACTCCTTTGAATACCAGTTGCCATATTTATTGACTCATTTCCATAATTTACAGAAAATTTTTTCACATTTACACGAGAAATTAAATATCCCAATGGGAAAGGGCCTCAGTCGAACACTGCTCCTCCCTCCATTATGTTTATAGAGACTATTATGCAAATTATAACAAAAATATTGTCTTTACTGGAGAGAGGAGTCACTTCTCAAATTAAGGGAAGTGGATAAGATTTGAAGTTTCTCCTCTTTACACGCTTTTGATTTTTGTCCTGCTTTTGATTTTCACATGTTTCAGTGGACATGCTCAATTTTCAGCTTACACTGTAATTTACATAGATGAACCAAAAATTATGATAGAGTTGAAACTGAGTGGCACTTATCAGATAGCTTGCTTAGTGAGGAAGAGAGGGCTGCAAAGTCCTAGAGAGCCTCACAAACTTACATTTTTTTTAGAATGTGTGAAGTTTCATACCAATATTTACTTAAAAACAATGATGCCAGTTCTCCATTACTGCAGCCTACTAAGATTTTAACCACTAGCTTAATCTATTTATTTTCTGTAACATTTAAATTAGGAGCTCACTGCAAGAATGATTCTTTGCTAACAGCTTTGAGACAGATTTGTAGGGTAAGTATGTGTGTGTGTAAAAGCTTGCGTGAGTTGCAGTGCTGTAACCAATGGCAGAAGTCTTTAACTTAAAGGTCTTTGACTAAATTATGTGATTATATAAACTAAAAATCTCCAGTATTCCACAAGGGAAATAAATGTATTCTGTGTGGTTTTGTTCTGAAGATGCATCCTAGGAAGCTGCTCAAGAAGAACTCTAATAAACTCCCCTCACTCCCCACTCCAGCTTTTATATGGGGCCTAGGATAGGCTATGTATGTGCATTTGAACTTGTGCTAAGAAGCTTCTTTAGAATGGTGAAAGTGCTTTTAAACTTGAACCTCTCCCCCACAGGCCTGTGAGAAAGATCCTGCCTCCCAGAGTGCAGCAGAATTCCTCAGATCCAAAAGATTTAT